GCCCGAGCAAGACGCCAAGAGGTCTACGAGCCAGGAAGGACGCCCAAGAGGTCTAAGAGCCAGGAAGGACGCCCAAGAGGCACCGAACCAGAAAGCGACGCCTAAAGTGCCTACTAGCCAGGAGGGACGTCCCAAGAGGTCCCTACGAAAGCCAGGAAAGACGCCAAGAGGAGTCTAAGACCCCGATAAGGACGCTCAAAGGAGGGTACGGCCCCAAGGAAGGACGCCCAGCAGGTTCTACTAGCCAGCAAGACGCCAAGAAGAAGGTCAAAACGACCCGAGAAGGACGCCCCAAGAAAAAGGTCTACTACCTAGGAAAGAGCCAAGAGGCTACGACCCGCAGAAACGCCCAGAGGTCTACGAGCAAAGACGCCCAGAGCTACGAGCCAGGAAGACGCCCAAGAGTCTACGAGCCAGAAGACGCCAAAGAGGTCCAGCCCAGAAGGACGCCCCCAAGTTTCTACGAGCCAGAGGACGCCCAAGAGGTCTACGAGCCCGAGAAGGACGCCCCAAGAGGAGGTCTGCGAGCCCGAGAAGGACGCCCAAGAGGAGTCTAACGAGCCCGAGATGGGCGCCAAGAGGAGGTCTACGAGCCAGAGAAGGACGCCCAAGAGGTCTACGAGCCAGGAAGGACGCCTAAGAGGAGGTCTACGAGCCCGAGAAGGACGCCCAAGAGGTCTACGAGCAGGAAGACGCCAAGAGGTCTACGAGCCAGGATGCCAAAGAGGTCTACGAGCCAGGAAGGACGCCCAAGTGTTCTACGAGCCAGAAAGGACGCCCAAAAGGTCTACGAGCCCGAGATGGACGCCAATAGGAGGTCTACGACCCCGAGAAGGACGCCCAAGAAGACGAAGGATCTACGAGCCCGAGAAGGACGCCCAAGAGGTCTACGAGCCCGAGGAAGGACGCCCAACGAGGTCTACGAGCCCGAGAAGGACGCCAAGGTCTACGAGCCGAGAAGCAAGAGGTCTACGAGCCGAGAAGACGCCCAAGAGGTCTATGAGCCGAGCCAAGGACGCCCAAGAGGTCTACGAACCCGAGGACGCCCAAGAGGTCCACGAGTCCGAGAAGGACGCCCAAGAGGTCTACGAGCTCGAGAAGGACGCCTAAGAGTTACGAGCTCGGAGAAGACGCCAAAGACGTCTACGAGCCGAGAAGGACGCCCAAGATCTACGAGCCCGAAAGGCCCCAAGAGGTCTACGAATCCGAGAAGGACGCCCAAAACAGTCTACCCGAGCCGAGGACGCCGAAAAGGTCTACGAGCCCGAGAAGGACGCCCAAGAGGTCTACGAGTTCTGAGAGGTAAGCCTAAGAGATGAGTTGCGAGCCCGAGAGGCAGTCTCAAGAGTCTACGAGCCGAGTAAGGACGCCCAAAAGTCTACGAGCCAGAAGCGCCCAATGTCTACCAGGCAGGAAGAGCCCAATGAGTTCTACGAGCAGGAGGACGCCCAATGGTCTCCGACCAGGAAGGCCAAAGGTCACGACAGGAAGGACGCCCAGAGGTCTACGAGGCCAGGAAGGACACCAATCTATGAGCCTATGTAAGGCGCCCTAAGAGGTTACGAGCCAGGGGATGCCATAGAGGAGTGTCTACGTGCCAGGACGCAAGTTACACCAGTATAGACGCCCAAAGGAGTCTGTGAGCCGACGCCAGAGGTCTACGAAGCCAGGAAGGACGCCAGAATTGAAGTCTGCGAGCGAGCACGCCCAAGAGGGAGTCTCTACGTGCCCAGAGCCAAGAAGTCTACGTTGGCCAGGACGCCAGAGTGTTACTAGCCGAGGCGCCTAAAGGAGGTCTACGAGCCAGGAGGGACGCCAAGAGGTCTACGAAGCCCGAAAATGGACCGCGAAGAGGAGTGTACGATGCCCGAGAAGGACGCCCAAAGTCTACGAGCCAGGAAGACGCCAAGAGGTCTACGAACCCAGAAGAGGCCCAAGAGGTCTACGAGCCCGAGAAGGACGCCCAAGAGGAGGTCTACGAGCCAGGAAGGACGCCCAGGAGTCTACGAAGCCACGAGAAGACGCCCAAGAGGTCTACGAGCTGGAAGACGCCCGAGAGGTCACGAGCCCGAGAAGCGCGCCCTACGAGCCAGAGGTCGCCCGACGAGCCCGAGAAGTCGCCCAAGAGTCTACGAGCCGGAGAAGGACGCCCAAGAAGAGGTTCTACGACCCGAAAGGTCGCCCAAGAGAAGATCTACGAGCCAGGAAGGACGCCCAAGAGGTCTACGAGCCCCAGAAGGACGCCAAAGAGGTCTACGAGCCAGGAAAGGACCGCCCAAGAAGAGTCTACGAGCCAAAAAGGGGCGTCCAGTCTACGAACCCAGAGTCGCCCCAAGAGAGGTCTACGAGCCCAAAAGACGCCCAAGAGAGGTCTACGAGCCCCAGAAGACGCCCAGAGGTACGAGCCGAAAAGCGCGCAAAAAGAGGGCTACAGCCGAGAAGGACGCCCAGAGGTCTAGAACCCGAGAAGTCGCCCAAGAGGAGTCTCCGAGCCAGAAGGACCCCAAGAGGTCTACGACCAGAGAGACCGCCCAGAGGAGTTTACGAGCCCGAGAAGGACGCCTTAAGAGAGGTCTCGAGTGGACACGCCCCAGAGGAAGACGAGCCAGAAGAAGGTCTACGAGCCAGGAAGGACCGCCGAGGTCTACGAGCCAGGAAGACGCCCAAGAGGTCTACGAGCCAGGAAGGACGCCCAAGTGGTCTACGAGCCAAGTAAGAGGTCTACGAGCCCAGAAGACGTGGTCTCCGAGCGAGGTCGCCCAAGGCAACGAGAGGTCTACGAGCAGAAGGACGCCGAAGGGTCCGAGCCAGGAAGGAGCCCAAGAGTCTACAGCCGAGAGAGGACCCCAGAGGGTCTACGAGCCAGGAAGGACAACAAGAGGTCTACGAGCCAGAAGACGCCCAGAGGTCTACGAGCCAGGAAAGACGCCCAAAGAGTCTACAAGAAGGACGCCCAAGAGCCGTCTACGAGCCTGGTCTACAAAGAGACGCCCAAGAGGGTCTACGACGAGGAGCCAGAGGACGAGCCAGAAGAGTCTACGAGCCAGAAGGACGCCCAAGGTCTACGAGCCAAAGAAGGACGCCCAAAGAGGTCTACGAGCCAGAAGGTCGCCCAAAAGGAGGTCTACGAGCACGAGAAGGTCGCCCCAGAGGAGGTCTACGAACCCGAGAAGGACGCCCAAGAGGTCTGCGAGCCCGAGAAGGACGCTCTAGAAGAGGTCTACGAGCCCGAGAAGGATGCCACCTCGGTTCACGAACCTGAGGAGGTGGTTTATGATGCCTCAAACCTCTCTGGGAACTAG